GGAGGCCGAAAAGGAGAAGCAAAGAAAGAAAAGCGGCAGCCCAGCAGCAACAAGTGAAACAGCGCGAGCGAGCGAGCAGGGAGGAGGAGGCAGTAGAGAGTAGACTACTCCTCCTACTGCTAGAGTGGTAGAAGGTGGCACCAATCGCAGCAGCGGTAGAGGCCAGCACGCAAGTGGCTCCTCCCATCCTCCCCCGCCCCCTCTCCTTTTCTCCCTCCTCATCCCCCGCTAATCTCATCGCTCCACCCACAGAAGCGGCACAGAGAGGGGGAGAGTTTAATATGGCACGCGTACCGCCCATGCGTGTTTTAATTTTAACAACAAGACTACTGTTGCAAATCAAATCAGCGAGCAAACGTGCAAATCCGACTGCTGCTACTACTTACTATACTTACTACTACGCCTCTTTTATGCTTGCATTCATTTGGCGTCCTGCCGAACCCAATTCAATGATTTGTTTGTAATTTTATATATATGGTGTGTACTTGGCGTGCTCTTAAACGGACGACCACGACGGCTTGGCTTGCCATGAATGTCCGCTCCATTTCAAAAACGGGAATGAAGACGGAGTCGAGGCCGGGCGGACCCGTGGGTTGCCGCGGCCGTGCGTTTGCCGAATGGGTGCGGCTAGGCCTCGGTCGACCAAGATTTAACCAAGTCTCTATCAAGTGACGACGTAAGATGCAAATAGGAAAGAGAGAAAAAAAACTGAAGAAAAATGCACGGGTCTCGATGTAGAACCTCACCGACGTAACATCGACCGAGACTTGGCAAGAATGTTGGCGAGTTGTTCTGGTTGTTTCTCTTTCAGACATGCATGAGTGCATGCAAGTGCGGTTGTTTTGGTAGCCTATGTAGTGACACGTGCTGGGCTAATACTATGTTTGCTAGCCTTGTATACACGGTGAGACATGTTAAGCTCAGGTTTTCTTTCGTAGCCTGCATTTGGTTAGACGTGCTGAGCTGAGACTACTGTGCTTGGTAGCACGTATCTGGGTGTGGCATGCATCGATGGAGTTTTTGACGCAAATGATCAGCATTTTCACCCAACGAAAATATGAGAAAACGTATTTGAACACTCAACTAATAATTCCAGCAGTAAAACATCGCCATTCCAACATAATCTCAACAAATGGTAAGAAACATACTACTTCAAACCGTAAACACGTAATTCAAAAGGTTGCTTCTCCATATCTCTTGGGTATATGCTGTGCTCCTGTTTGAATCTTTGCTCTTTAAACAACATATTAAGGTGAAATGGGAAGGCATGAAATATATTCAAACTCCATTAACTCGTGCTCGACAAGGTAAGAGAGCAAAAAATAGAGATAGCAACAAAAAAGATCAATACAACTCCCATATGTCACTTTTTATTTGCAGACAAGCAAGATCAATTGAAAAAATATCCTAGAGAATTTAAAAGGCGTATCGCCCATTCATGGACTACTGTTTTAAATGAACAAACATGCAAATCCCCCCCCCCCCTCTTTTATGTTTACATTCATTTATTGCGCTACCAAATTTAATTCAAAATATTTATATGGTACTCACTCCCTTCACTCTTAACTAGAGGACATCTTGTCATGAATGTCATGAGACTGCATCTTGTCATGAAGTTAGTTTGAGCATAGTTATGTTTTAAGACTAATTAAATTAAAAATATCCTAGAGAATTTAATAGGTGTACCACACCCATGTGTGTTTTAAGACTACTGTTTCAAAACAAACGTGCAAATCCTCCTCCTCTTCTCTTATGTTCACATTCATTCATTGTGCTACCAGATTAAATTCAATTTATTTATATATGGTGCGTACTCTCTTCGCTCTTAATGAACGTAATTTATATATGGACATCTTGTCATGAATCTGCCTCCCGCTTAAAAAAATAAAACAACTTGTTGTAATGAGCGTTAGTTTGAGTATAGTTACATGACAAAAAATGACAGTATATTTTTTCCATCTGAATGAAATGGAAATAAAGCCTGCCATCCCTAAACAAATACTAGTGTGTTTCATGACCAACCTAGTGATATTGTTCCACCTAACCAATTGTTTTCTCGAGGGGAAAGGGCATTTTTAATTTTTACATTCAAATGGTCAAGTGACCCTCCTTTATCCGTGTGCTTCATTAAAATATTCGCACACACACGTTTTCGAAATACTTCCTCTGTTCCTTTATATAAGGTGTATTTTTTTTTATAAAATTCCAGAATGTAAGGTGCATTTCTTTTAATTCCTCATAATTCTCTTGTTAGCCCTTCAGAAATAAGGAAAATATCTTTCTCTTGATTGTACGTATCTCTCCTTATAGCAAAAGAAGGAAACTATTTCTCTGTCGATTGCATGTATCTCTTACTTTCCTGTAGTTACTGATTCACTGATTTCCTGTAGTTACCGTGTCTGAAAAAATACACCTTACATAAAGAAATGGAGGGAGTAGTTGTACACATGTGTACATGAGGTGTTGTTTCTTCCCCCAGACTCATCGTTAAATCACAAAGCAAAATGACTTTGCTGCGGAAATCCCGGCGCTTCATTAGATTACTACGAGCCACCGACGGCTAAAACCTCCCCGTCCATAGCAATCAGACAAAACCCGGGAGGGGCGCCGCGACGTCGACGTGTAAAGTAAAACCCCGGCTCAACGAACCGTTCATTCGGCGGACGGGGGTCGATCTTTTTCTGGGAGGCCGCTGCTGATGACGGGTGACGAGGCTCCGCGCGTGGGCCCGCGCCCCAAGCCCAGCAGCCACCACGGCCCACCACATGCCGTCGTCTTCCTCCGGAGCTGGCTGGAGCGGAGCGATCGCGCCACTCGCGGACTCCCGCTTCGCGCACGCAGCGGCCGCGTGCTCCACTGCCGGTCTCTTCCTCTCCTCTCCTCCTCGCCCGGCCGTGCTTGTACCCTAGGTCAATTTGGACGATTGCGCGCGTGGTATCCCATTCCCAGCCCCAATTATATGAGAGAGAGAGGTGTTCTGAGTTGTGAGGGTGGGTGCTGCACTGCTGCATGCCTGCTGGTGTTGGGGTGAAAGGGAGAGGGAGGTGACCCTGAAATAATCTGGATCGGGGCGGGCTCGGCTGATAAGCGCATCGCATCGCCTCGCCACCGATGATTTTTTGGTATTTCCGCGGCGGAAAAGGATAGATTGGCTGGCTAGCTGCGCGCTGAATGCAAGCGTGTGTTTTATCCAGCGTGTGATGGCTCCGCGTCGTTTTCGGCCTACGGTGACGTGTGCGGACGGGTGACGCTCGTGCGTAGCTCTCCGATCCGACGGCTACCACCGAGCCGGCCGTATGCTTCGGCTGAATTGAAATCGTGTAGTTCCAATGAAAAATTCTTTGGCTTGTATACTACTCCATCCGTTCCAAAATAGATGACTCAACTTTGTACTAACTTTATATTAAATTTAGTATAAAGTTGAGTCATCTATTTTGGAACGGAGGGAGTACCAGAGAGTGTTAGATATTTTTTGTTAAATGTAGAGATAGTTTTTTTAGATTTGAAACACAATGCACAGATAATTCAAAGGTAGTAGTGTACTAGTAGTATTTTAAAAAAATTGCTGGTTAAGAGTAGTATTTAACATTTGACTTCGAACACTAAAGAAAAACAACACATGCTGGCTGCCACGGAGTCACAAGTCTAGGAATGTGGCGAGTTTTTAAAATTTTGTTGGAAGTCAACTCTTCAAAAGTTTTGGCTGTCTCCAACTCGAACAAAAAAAAATTGGTTGTCAACGATGACAGTTGAGGGAATGAGAGTACCGATGACCTCCATTGCTGCCCATTAGGGCATGTACAATGGTTCTATCTTAACAATGCCACGTAGGATAAATGATGAGGTGGAGGAGAGAGAAATCATAAGAGAATGCTTGTCTTCTCTTAATTAAGAGAAGGCAAGAGATGATCTCTTAGCACAATATGTCTCACCACGTTTTTAGGAATAACTAGTTTTTAAAGATAAGGCTAAGAAATGACCCATTGTAGACATGTTTTTTTGTCATGTATAAATTACATGCAAGATTTAAGATAAGGCTACCTTATCGACCATTGTACATGCCATTAAATCGTTGATGGCGCTATAGTATATCCAAGTTCAGAATTTTACCAACAATGATTAATCCGCCAATGCATTAGTTATGTCACCCAAAGATGGTAAATAATTTCCCATTTTAATCACTTTTTAGAATATGATCCATAAATATATCAAAACACATGGAAAAAAAATCGTCAAATCTCAAACTTGGGTACAAACTCGAGGGAGCCCGGTATTAAAATACGGTATTTGTA